TTTCCCCCGACTTTGGGGGGAAAGATACCGACGACGACGACGACGCCGACGCCGACGATGACGACGACGACGACGACGACGACGGGGGCTGCGTTGTTTCGACGGACGCCCGAACACTGCGATCCCACAGCCTCGTCCCCTGAGACGCGCACGCACTGCCGAGCTACCCTGATCGCGATCCGCCCTAGAACATGCATGCGGAACAGACTTGCGACGCAGCTGCTGGGACCTACGAGGAGGGAGATGAGGATAAGGTTATGGAGGGATGCTGAGGAATGACTGGGGTGTGAGGGACAGGGATGGGATGACGAGGAAGCGGGGGGCCTTAGAGAGCAGGACATCACTCACATTCACTCGGTGGTCTGGCTCTGTACGTCGTACCAGTTCTGCAGCGTCGCGGCTGCCCTGTCAGCCTTCTCCTGCATCTGCACGTAGGTCTCGGCTTTGATCGACAGCGTGCGAACAGTGCGCTTGCCCGCCAAATTTGTCTCCGAACGCACCGCCGTCCTGTACGGCATGTACGTCGCGTTGGGCTGCGTGATGACAGGCTCCCACGCTGGGTCGAGCGTGTCGGGCGCGGGTGCCTTGGCCAGCAGGTCGATGTTCTCGGGGCGCACCTCGATGGCCAACTTCGTCCTGCCGTAGGCCGCAGACATGACCGTGACGGTGTGACTGTGGCCATCGCAGTCCTTCACCTCGATGTCGCACCACGTCGAGATCTTGTCCACCAGCTCGCGCTTAGCCCTCTTCGGAGCTGGTCCATCTCCTGCCGATGCTGCTCCCACGTCAGCGCCACCAGGTTGCTGCATCAGCGGGTCATTCTCCTCGGCGGCCCCGACTTCGCGCATCATATCCAGACTCTTGGAGTCGCGCAGCTTCTGGAGAATATCCAACATGCCGAACTTCTTGTTAACGACCCTAGCGAAGCCGCAGTTCAGTTTATCGCATACGACGAAGCGCTTGCCGTCCCTGACAATCACCTCAGCCATCCAGCTGTTGAAAAGGCTTGGGGGAGGGAGCGGTGGAGATCATTGCCCAACCCTCGGCGATGGTAGCGGGCATTGCAAATTCAAACGAGGAGGCGAGTTGCCTGAAAGCCGACGCACGCTTGAGCAGAAAACGGCTATGGTGGAGGAGGGGGTGGTCACGAGGGAGGGTCTGGAGGGATAAGCCTCGTAAGGGGGCAATGCGTGGTTCGACCCAGGGGGCACGCACGGTACTCGCGCCAAGCGGGTCGAGCGGAATATTTGGCAGTGGTCTGGTCCCTCGCCCGTCTCTGCTGCAGCGTTGTTTATTGTGGGTTGTGCGTTGTGCACGTGTGTGTGTGTGTGTGTGTGTGTGTGTGTGTGTGTGTGTGTGTGTGTGTGTGTGTGTGTGTGTGTGTGTGTGTGTGTGTGTGTGTGTGTGTGTGTGTGTGTGTGTGTGTGTGTGTGTGTGAGTGTTTGTGTGTGTGCGTGTGTGTGTGTGTGTGTGAGTGTGTGGTGTGTGTGTGTGTGTGTTGTGTGTGTGAGAGGTGTGCGCGCGACATCGTGTTTTTTTTTTTTTTTTTTTTTTTTTTTTTTTTTTTTTTTTTTTTTTTTTTTTTTTTTTTCTTGTGATTTTCTCTCTCTTCCCCCGCGGCATCGGGGATAAGGACCTTATCCCCGCTTTGATCCTGGGCCTCGCACCCAGGCTGTTTGTCAGAGAGGCCCCGGCAGGGCGACGACGAACGACCAAAACCACAGGAGGCCAAGGGGACCAACGCTAGACCAGAATGCACCGCATAGACCTGCACGACGACGACGACGACGACGACGACGTCGACGACGACGACGACGACGACGACGACGACGGCGCGACGCGGCGTGGACACACGTTGTTTTTTTGGCTGTTTTCCCCTGCTGATTTTGGTGCTTTCCTCTGCTGATTTTGTGTTTTTTTCGGGGATGTCCGTTTCCCAAAACAACCGCGACGAATACTGAAAGTCGGAGGCAGGATGGGGGAGGACGAGGAGGAGGAAGAAGAGGAGCAGGGGAGCGACGAGGATTGCAATGATGAGCAATCGAGGCGCCTAGACACGGGGACAGAGACGGTGACGCAGGGGAGCAGCGGGATATGTACCGCCTCCCCCATCGTCGTGCATCTTCATGTTCTTGCTCTTCCTCCTCCTCCACCTCCTCCTCCTCAGCCAAGGTCGACCAATCCGCGAGTTGATTCGAGCCGCCGTTGTCCCCAGGGTCCAAACAGCGCTTACACTAAGGGTTGTCATTTCCGTTGGGCGTCGTCGTCGTCGTCGTCGTCGCCGCCGTCGTCGTCGTCGTCGTCGTCGTCGTCGTCCTCATCCTTATCTTCCCCTCGTCATCACTCGTTTTACTTCATTGTTACTTACCTTCCTCTCACTCATATATCTTCGGCTTTTGTTTTGCAAGAGCTGGGGCGCTGCCGCGTTGACCTGGCGTGCGCAAGCTGTATTGTCCGAGGTCTAGGCGAGGCGTTGGGGGGGAGGTAGAGGGTCGTCGATATCTCTAAGGATGGGCACAAGAGAGGCACAACAAAAGAAGACGTGCTGCAACTGATTCGCAGCAAAGCCCGAAGCCCGTGCCATCTCGGAAACGCTTATTGATAAGTTACAGGCGGGCTTCAGCTGGCCTGCCCAGAGCCACTGGCCGCATCCTTTTTTGCGGAGGGCTGGGCGCAACAGCTTTGCGCCCTTCTCGAGAGCCGTCGGATTATACAGCACAGGGATCGCCAAGTCCACAATGGGGCTTGCAGTGCTGATGCCATCTTTCTTGGCAGCTGCTTGCCCCTTCAGCTCCACGCGCGTCGTTGCAGCCGCCAAGGTTGGCTCCTCTCCATCGGGCGCCTGGGGAATCGCCCAGTAGGGCACACACGTCGCCCCCTGCTGTTGAGGGGGGCGCAGGCAAGGGCCCAAAAAGGCAGCGTGCTTATCAGGAGCGCCATCGATGTGCATAGTGACACCTGACTCTGGAACCTTCTTGCATGGGACCACTCCAATTGAAGGGGTCAAAGGAATCAGCATCAAAGCACCCTTGTCGCATGCGCGATTCGTCGCAACCCCCTCGACCGCAAACTTCGGAGTCACCTTGCATTTAACTGAAAGCTGGGCCGTCTTGGCCGCAACGCGATAAGCGTGTGCCAACCCCTCACGAATGTGGCTCTTGATGCTCTCGATCTTGATGTCCTGGTGGTCCTTCGGGGCACCCCTCCCCAACTGCCCCCTCGAAATCGGGGGGCCGTCCTCCACGCCTTCCCCC